TAATTTAATTAGTTATATGTTTGATTGGTGACTTCTAATATTACCATATTGCAATGAACATCTTGTGGATGCCTTTGCATATTGAAGCTGGAGTATCTGTGGGACAGAAACTTGGAAACAAAATTGCTGGTGTGAAACACTTACAATTTTGCCATATACAGTACTGTGAAAAGACTTGTCAAAGGGGTTGTACCTATTACAGCCCACTGATAGTATATGAGAGCTCCTATTTGCCCTTAGCCTTGCTGATACATCACCCCAACCATGCTCGCTTACACCATGTTTTCCCCCTCTTTCTGCTGGGTTATTCACAAGGGTTCCTTCCAGCTATTACCTACTTTCTATTTTCTTTATGCCTAGAAAGTTATCCATACTGGCTTTATCCAATCTCTTTTCCTATTTTTTATTCTTTAAATTTTTACTATGGAAATTCTAAACATGTATAAAAGTAGAGGAAATAGAATAGACCCTACATAAGCTCCTATGTGTCTGTCACCCAGCATCAACATAACATTCTGCTCATTTTATCTATTTTCTGACAATTGACTTTTTCTCCTGGAGTATTTCCAGGTAAATCCTAGTTAAAATCTCAACCATGAATACTACACCATGTACCTCTAAAGGTAAGGTTTTTTTTTTTTTTAAATAAAAGTCACTATACTTTCACCCAACAAAATTAATAATTCTTTAATATCATCTGATACTCAATCCATTATAAACTCTTCTCTAATTGCTTCAAAAATGTCTTTTTATAAAGTATCCAAACAAGGTCCTTTAAGTTTCTCTAAGTCTTAAAGTCCTACTAACACTTTTATTTTGCAGCTTCAATTTGTTGAAGAAACTGGAATTTTTGTCCCATGGAATTTCCCACATTCTAGATTTAGCATATTAATGTGCTTTTCAATATCCTGTGTGTTTTTATCATTAGATGTAGAGGCTTGATTAGATTCAGGTTCAATTTCATTTGTTTTAGGCAGTAATTCATCATAATTCAACATGGTATGTTGGGTTCTTGCTATTGCAACATAACAGAAGCATGTCTCATTGTTCCTTTTTCAGTAATACTAAGATTGAACATCGGGTTCAGATGTTATGAACCTGAGCCATCCAATAAATGCTTCTCATCAACTTTTTATTTCATGCTTTTAGCAGCTGGATCTGTTACTTCATTAGAGGTGGCAAAATGGTGATTTCCTAATCTTATCATTCCTCTCCTATTTACCTATGATTCTTACATGAAGAAGTTTCCCTTATCAGGGTAACGTGATACACAAAGAAGTTGGGATAAATGATTCATTTTTCCCGTGAGCAATTTTCAAAATATTGAATTGGTGCCCTAGTAACCTCCAAAAGTGACCAATTAGTTTTTAAAATAGCATCATGCTCTCATGTTTCAACCCATTACTCTTTCCGATGCTCACATTAACCCATCTTTGGCCAATGGAAACCCCTTCAGGTTAGCTCCTGGGTCCTTTTGACACAACCTTACTCTGACTGCTGACACAAAATATTCCAGACTCATCTTGTCCTTTGTCTGCCCCCTTTTAGTGGGACAGTCTGGGTGCGAGGGTGGGTCTTACTATTGAGCTGTGATTATTTCTAGGCCTTTTCAGTGAACAAAGCTATGCAATATGAGTTTTTCAGAAATAAAATCATGATTCTTTATTATATTCTTGTGTCTCTTTTCTCCTCCGCTGAAAATCTTGGCCCTTGATTCCAATGACACAAGTAAATATTTGCTTTAACACATATAAATACTCAAATGATACTACCAATATCATTGCTAAAAAAGAAAAACAAAAAACTATTGAATGCAGTTTAAGATTTATTTGTGGTTGTTTGGTCTATAGGATATATTTCACTAGCAAAGTATAGACAAAATACTAGGCTTTCAAGTCACTTGAAGTAATTCTTCTGTGGGTCTATACCACCAACTTGACAGACTGTTAAGTTTGTTTTAGTTTTAAGAGTTGCCTTTTCAAAAAATGTTTATTATATAAAACATTGACAGGGCCTCAAAGTAAAATGTATGTAAGATACAGAAATAGTTGCCATCCTTGTCTAGCTCCCTACCACCACTAATAAGGGGATTATTTTAGTAGTTATTGGTATAACTAATCCTTCTATTGCTTTACAAGAAAAGCAAATACATATATATTTTTTCCATTTGTCTCTTCGTTATACAACAGATAGCACACCATACATTCTCTTCTGTACTTTACATTTTTCATTTCCTATATTCTGGAGATTTCTCTAGACCAGAAGTACAAAAATAGTTCACAGTCCTTTCTACAGCTGTGTAGTATTCCATTGTATAGATATACCCTAGTTCCTTCCATCAATTCCCTATCAATGGAGATTTGGTTGGCTTCCAGTCTGTAGCCATTAGAAACAGTGCTATAATCAAGACCTTTGTGCATATACCATTTCATATTCTTGCAAGTGCATCTCATATGGATTCTTAGAACTGGGTCTGCCAGGTTGAAGGATATACTCGTTTAATTTTGCTAGTTAACGAATACCATCCATAGGGATTTGTACTTTTTGGAGTGCCTGTTTCCCTACTGACTCAACAGAGTGCATTGCCTAACTTGGATTTTCCCCAATCTGACAGGTAAGAAAGGTATTTCCATTATTTTATTTTATTTTGCATTTGTCTTTTTACGCATATCCTCATATGTTTAAAGGCCACTTGCATTTTATTTTCTGTGAACTGTTCATATCTTTTTGCCTAATCTTCAGGTTCTTCTCAAAGTTTAAAATTCTTCATATGTGGGGCTACAATTAGCCCTCTGTGATAAATGCTGCAAATATTTTCAGCTATCCAAAAAAATATTTCTTCTTCTCTGTCACCCAGGCTGAAGTGCAGTGGCTTACTGCATCCTCAAACTCCTGGGCTCACAGTCCTCCCACCTCAGCCTCCCAAGTAGGTGGAACCCAGCCCAGGTACTTAAATTTTTTTTTTTTGTAGAGCCAGTCCTACTAGGTTGCCCAGGTTGGTTCTGAATTCCTGGTCTCAAGCAGTCCTTCTGCCTCAGCCTCTCAAAATGCTGGAATTATAGGCATGAGCCACTGCATCTGGCTGAAAATTCTTCTATAGACTTTTCTTTTTATTGCTTCTGAATCTTCAGTCCTAAGAAAGTTTTTCTGTCAGATTATACAACAATTCACCTATGTTTTCTTCTAGTTAGAAAGAGGGTTTCATTTTAAACACTGGGTCTTTGATCTATTCAGATTTTGTCCTGTGTACCCTGTGAGAAATCGATTCAATTTTATTTTTTTTCCAGATGGTTAACCACACTTGTCTCAACACCATTTTTAAAGCCTTTTTCTCTGAATGAGATGCTTCCTTTATCATGTACTAAATTCCTAGACTTTCTCATATTGTAAACATTATGTTATAATATTTAATAGAGTTATCCCTCCTTCCACATTGTTCCTTTCTAGGTATCTCCCAGCTATTTTTGTTTATTCTTTCCAGTACCTTGGTATAAGGAAAAACTTCTTGTTTTATTGAAATCAGGTACGGCCCTTTAAATATAAATATATATTATATATATGAATGAAGACATTTCAAAAGTGTTCTGCAAATCATATTCTAAAACCAACTTTAGGCAACTTTTTTGTTGGAATATTAGTCTTAGAAAAAAAAAGAAGAAAACAGAAATCATCTCAAGGGAATGCATGGACACAGGTAAAGCCATGTATGGCAGCCACAACACCCAGAGTAGCTAGCCTTCCCTAAGAACAGCAGCAGCATTTACTGAACATTCACTGGATCCATGGTCCTGTAGTTAACTATTATACAGAGACTGGTCCATACAAAAGACTTAAGAAAATACACAGCTGTCTATAGTGACTATCACAGGAAAATTTATTCTGTAAAATAAAATAAAAGTACGCTGTGCATAAGTAGGCAAAGATCAAATGCTGTAATAGATTTTTAAGAAAACATTTAGCACCCATTACATTTTTTTAAATGTGAGGTTTGTGAACTTCCCTTCTAGCTCAATCTTCACAAAATTACATATACTACACCTCAGGGTAAAATCTAACTTTAAAAAGAGTTACAACATCTTTCATATAAAGCAAATTCAGTCTGTAGGAAAATAAAGTATCACTTGATATTCGGGTATATCTATTTCTTGAATCACTTGGTACATCTGTGGCCAGAAACTCCATTCATTAAGTAAACCAAGGAACTTCTTCCTTCCAAGGGCTGGGACCAAATTTCCTGTGCAAAAACCTTCCTGTATAAGTGAAACCTGTCATTCTCCCAGCAAAGGATAATTGAGATTAGAGAGTGTGTAAAACAAAAAAACAAAAATATTACCCAAATTATTTGTACCACATACAGGTTTGAAACTTGGCCATCCAAGATACTAACTAAAAAGACTATTATTGGCTGGGCGCGGTGGCTCAGTGAGCCTGTAATTCCAGCACTTTGGGAGGCCAAGGCGGGTGGATCACAAGGTCAGGAGATCAAGACCATCCTGGCTAACACGGTGAAACCCCGTCTCTATTAAAAATACAAAAAAAATTAGCTGGGCGTGGTGGTGGCGGGTGCCTGTAGTCCCAGCTACTTGGGAGGGTGAGGCAGGAGAATGGCGTGAACCTGGGAGGCGGAGCGTGCAGTGAGCCGAGATTGTGCCACTGCACTCCAGCCTGGGCGACAGAGCAAGACTCCATTTAAAAAAAAAAAAAAAAGACTATTATTGTTCTTAAGGTAGAGAAATCAGACAATACATCTTGGCGCTCATGCTGCCTTCCTACACTAACCTAGTTAATCTGACAAGTGAGACAAATTGTTCATTGGGAAGATGTTTATATCATGCTTCAGTATAATTTGTCTATTCTTTTGTAGGGGAGAAATGTTGAAAACAGAACATTCAGTCTTTCTGGCAGTTAATCAACAGTGATACAACCTTACATTTCCTAACAACTACAAATTCCCTAATTAACCATTTTCAAAATGCAATAACAAAGCCATTAAACCACTATTTGCTCTAGTTCACTGTTTTTATTTACATAGCTACCTTTCTCCTGGACAAGCAATGTTAGCCAAAGATGCCTTCTTGATGACAATCCTATTCAATTTTTATTTATTTTTTTGGTGAAGGGTTTTCTCAGCAGCCAGTTACCACATGGAGCTTTTTCACAGTTTCAAAGAAGTTTTCCTCATTTTAAAACTGCAAGAAAATTCTACACTTGATGGTAGTTCCTAAAAAAATAGTTCAATCAACCTTTTAGAATTTTTGTAATATAACTTCAAGTATGTAATGATTTAATTAACACAATACTCTTAAACAACAACAACAACAAACCCAAGTGCTAGCTCATTTCTGGTGCCATGAGACATAATAGCACCACCTGTTTTTCTATTTTAGTGGTTAAAATGTATGCATTTTTAGCACCCATCTACAAAAGTTAGATGTTAATAAAAATACGACATTACTCAGCTTACTAGGAAGTAACAGTCTTAATATCCCCTTAAGTGAAGAAATTTGTTTCATTTGCTGTATCCTGGGTCATGGAAAAGAATAGTATGAAAGGGAGAAACAAAGAACAGCCTTTCAGCTAAGGCTTTTCAGTACCTGAATCACTGAAGTATTAAAGTCATGTTCCTTGGAAGTGTAGAATCATACCACACATAGGAGGTTCCAAGGAGTTATGTTGTTATACACTGTGTATGTCAGGATAGACCACATTTAAAATGCTGAACATGGCTTAGCAGCCTTAAATATAAAAAAGAGGTAAACTAGAAAAAGTAATGATAGTGATCAACTCCCATCCTTTAACCGAAACTCTGCCTTGTTGCTCCATTTCAAAAACAAAGTGAAATATTCTAAACAACTGACAGATTTTTTTACATAAAAACACATTGAATTTAGATTAATATCAGTCATCAGACACAATAAATACATGATGGGGAAGACAAAGAAAATAAAGTGCACCTTTACAGTGTAAGAGACTCAGAAATCACTTCCTAAATTGGCAATATAGATTGCAATATAAAAAGTAACTGATTAGCAAAATTAGATTAAAAATTTTTCAGCTGAAAAATTAGTTTTTCAGTACATGAGAGGGACAAATAACCTTTTATTTAAAGGTATTAAATTTAGAGACTTGTATATTTTAATTTTGTGTAGGAGAAAGGAAAGCCATTCTTCTAGAAGGCACTAACTGGTTTAAATGTGCGAGTGAATTCCTAAAGAAAACATGTGCAAAGTATAGTCAAGAAGGCTGCCTGGTTCTTGTGTTGTATTCATTACTCTTCAGCATATACTATGAATTATTGCTGAACAACTGTATCAGTAACCAGGTTTTCCCATCAGAGCTTCAGTGTGTTCAGTCCACAGTGTCACAGATCTCCTTTACTTTCTGGTTGAATTCTTCTGGTTGATCTGCATATACATAATGTCCTGCCCCAAGAATAGCCTGGATAAGGAAAAGCATTCAGGTGGTTAGTGAGTAAAAGCATTTAATAAAACACAATGATATATAAGCAAAGATACTTAGTAATAAAAGTGAGAGCCACTATATTTAAATAAAACACATGATAAAAAATAACAATAATCTATAGGGACTATTAAGTATATCCATTAAAAGGATCTGAGAATAGAAAAATCTACTGATTGAATCTACATACAATTTTAATACGCAAAAAACACTAAATTGACCACTAATAAAAGTGCCAATAGAGAAACTGAAAAAAGTGAGACTGTGCCGCCTTGTGAGGTGGGAATTACTTTAAGAGCTACTGGACCAGTCCCTCTGTCCATCTCTCTTAATGCTGTGGCTCTAGGGACAGGGAAAGTCACTCAGAAAGGTGGTTCATGGTTTGGACATGAAGATGTATGCAGGCCAAACCCTGCACCCAACACATGTGGTATCAGGTCCCTGACTGAGGCTGCAGGTATAGCTTAGATGACCTGTAACACCAGGATGACCTAAAACCTCTTTTAAAGGAGATAATAAAACAGACTTCACTCATACCTAAAAACCCAAATCAAGTCACACACTTACTATTGTCTTCACATATGAATGTGGTCGTAAGGACTGGATGCTGGTGCCAGAATTGCCATCTATGCAGGAGCGGGCGCCAAAGATCACTGAAACTGGAATGTCAGGGTGCATTTTACCAATTCGCTGGAGCATTGGCCTTTTTGCCCATCCATAAGGAATAGTCATATTCTTGAAAGCTGTCTCACCACTTTAACAGCAAGGAGAAAATCACAATGTATGATTTTTGGGAATGAGTATGCATTGCACTGTCACTTCTATCAAAACACATTCATATTTAGCTTTTCCAGCACTTAAGAAAAACCTCAGCTTAAATAGACAATAATTTATGAGATAGTGTAAGGAATAAATCTCACAGATCACTGTTAGATAAGCAAGGCTGCTGTATACTTTAGCTGATTTTTTAAAAAGTTTTCCTGTAAACCAAAATGTACAACCTTAATTTTCTATCATTAAATTATTTATTGTGGAGATAGTTAAAAATATGTTTTTTCACCCTTATTTAAACTGATGTAGAAGGTAGCTTATCCCCAGGTTCATGGCACCAGCATTTCACCTGCAATGCCAAAACCATTACCAAGTTAAGAAACTCAGATAATATATTCTTGCAAACTCTCAGGATAGGTCTATTTGCTGTCACTTCTGCTATTTTTTTTTTTTTTTTTTTTGAGATGGAGTCTCGCTCTGTTGCCTAGGCTGGAGTGCAGCTACACAATCTTGGCTCACTGCAACCTCTGCCTCCCGGGTTCAAGCAATTTTCCTGCCCCAGCCTCCTGAGTAGCTGGGATTAGGGGCACGCACAACTAAATTTTGTATTTTCAGTTGAGATGGGGTTTCACCATGTTGGTCAGGCTGGTCTCAAACTCCTGACCTTGTGATCCGCCCACCTCGGTCTCCCAAAGAGCTGGGATTACAGGCGTGAGTCACCACGCCCGGCCACTTCTGCTATTCTTACAGAACTAGACAAAGTTCTAACTTGCCTTCTATGAAGAATTCAAGTCTCACCACAAGAAAGGTAACAAACTAGGACTACATGAACACATGTAATCATGAAATAAGAGGACATGAAGAGTAAAACTTAGACCATGCAGGAAAAGGAATGATGTTCCTGGGGCAGACCCCTAAAAACCGCTGTTGGAGCAAGTCAATCAATGTGTTCACCTAATCCACAAGATCTGACTGCCTAGCAAGTCACAAAACCTCAATCTCTTGAGGACCTTGAACCTCTAGCCTCCTTCACTCTTGGCAGAGAACCTCTAACCTACTTTATTAAAAAGACTGAGGCTACAGCTACACCTATAAATAGCTACCATGGCCTCAATCTTTTTAATAAAGTAGGTGTACATATTATCTGCCAAAAGTGAGGGCGGAAATAAAAGGGAGGGAGGCCGCCTCTGCATCTCCCCTCTTAGCCTTTCATCCAAACCTCAGTCTTAGAAAGGATGAGATACCACTTCTGTGTCTTAAAGTGTGCTCCATGACCCACCTATGCAGAATCACCAGAGTATTTGTTAGAGATGCAGCCCAGAAATGCTAGTCTCAGTCTTAGAAATTAGCCTCAGGAGTCACATTTTAACAAGCACCCCCAATAATTTCAGTACATGACATAGCATGAGAACTGTAGCTCTCATCTTTGCACTCTATTCTTGTTGCTCCTCCTAGAAACTCTAGGGCCTTATCGTTTGGCCTCCTCCTAGTTCACCACTGTCGTCAGGCTATGTTTTCTCTACTGGTACTTTTCACCCAACATCCATAAGTAGTATTTGTAAAAAATACATTTGGCCCTCTTGCTCCCTCTGCTACTATGCCCCATTCTGTCTCTCTCCTTCTAATCACTGTCAAAATACATGCAGAATCCCTCACTTCCGCCTCACCCTCTGCAGCTGCATTTCTAAGGCTGACCTACAGATGTTTAGAGTTGTTCAGGAGTACAATCATCAAATGGACTTGAAAAATACTACACAGCATCTCCCATTCACTTGGGAAATTCAATACCCTTTGGTATAGTAAAGGATAATTCATAGTACAGACACCCATTTACTTTTGTTTAATCTGCACCCTTTTTTCTTTTTTTGATGAAACATTCATACTCAGTTTGGGAAATACTTCATGTGAAATTCTTCAACTCTCAACTCAAACCGTCTCTTGGAGATGCCCAAGACCAAGACTTCTATAACTTATTCATAAGAACTTTGAGGGAAGAGTGAACATCTCACTTTTTAATCCGCCATCAGAACTCAGCACAATGTTTTATACAGTGGGTACTCTAAGAATAGATGAGTAAAATAAAATGTATTAGACACATGTCCTTTTAAATTCAGTAATTTAACTACTGACAAAAATCTTCTGGACCACTGATATATTTTTAAAAAAAGGCTGGGAACGGTGGCTCATGCCACTTTGGGAGGCCGAGGTGGGCGGATCACCTGGGGTCAGAAGTTCAAGACCAGCCTGACCAACATGGAGAAACTCCGTCTCTAATAAAAATACAAAAAAATTAGCTGGGCGTGGCAGTGCATGCCTGTAATCCCAGCTACTTCGGAGGCTAAGGCAGGAGAATCGCTTGAACACGGGACACAGACGTTGCAGTGAGCCAAAATGAAGCCATGGCCCTTCACCCTGGGCGACAAGAGCAAAACTCCATCTCAAATAAATAAACAAATATTAAAAAAAAAAAAAAGTCTAAAACACACACACACAGTGAATTGAGAAACCTAACCCTCACCTTGGAGTCTGTACATTACAGTGGTAGATGTATTCTGTCACAGTATCGTCTTCGAACATTGAAGAATACTTCCGTTTGAAATCAGGCCTTAAACGCTGCACTAGACTTAAACCTATTTAACAGGAAATTTTAAAAATGCATGTTTTAAATTATAATTAACTTATCAACTAAATAATATACAAAGTTTTAGTGCTTGTCTGTGTAATGACTGTTATGTGCACACACACATATATATGTATTCAAATATATATTGTAGGTGGTGAAAAGCACACATTCTGATAGCTATCCTCCTAAAGATCCCCAAGGAAATATTAATATAAGAATTAAAGAGTATTGTATTTTGACTTGCAGATGTGCTTTAGGGCCTCAAAAACATGTCAGTTAGAAGGCACTTTTGTAGGTAAATAAATTCTTTAAATGTGGCCAGTGAGTAGCTCATACATAAAATTAATGTATTAACTTGTATTTCTTCCATAATTACAACACATTAACATCCAAATGAAGTAAACTAGTATATATAATTATTTATGTGTGAAAATAAATTCATTTTTTTCTTGGGACCCTAGCAAGACCCCCTGCTAAGGTTATCCCTGGTGGTGCACACAGCCCCACTCTAGAAAAAGCCAAGGGCACCCGGGAGCAGTGGCTCACGCCTGTAATCCCAGCACTTTGGGAGGCCGAGGCGGGCGGATCACAAGGTCAGAAGTTTGAGACCAGCCTAACCAACATGGTGAAACCCCCATTTTGTATTTGTACTGAAAATACAAAAATTAGCCGGGCGTGCACCTGTAATCCCAGCTACTCAGGAGGCTGAGGCAGGAGAATCACTTGAACCTGGGAGGTGGAGGTTGCAGTGAGCCAAGATCGCACCACTGCACTCTAGCCTGGGTGACAGAGTGAGACTCCGTCTCAAAAAAAGAAAAGGCTGGGCGCGGTGGCTCACGCCTGTAATCCTAGCACTTTGGGAGGCCAAGGCAGGCGGATCACGAGGTCAGGAGATCAAGACCTTCCTGGCTAACACAGTGAAACCCTGTCTCTACTAAAAATACAAAAATTAGCCGGGCGTGGTGGCAGGTGCCTGTAGTCCCAGCTACTCAGGAGGCTGAGGCAGGAGAATGGAATGAACCCAGGAGGCAGAGCTTGCAGTGAGCAGAGATCGCGCCACTGCACTCCAGCCTGGGCGACAGAGCAAGACTCTGTCTCAAAAAAAAAAAAGAACAGAAAAAAAGAAAAAGCCCAGGGCAAGGCCCACAAGGGAAAGAGGATGAAGAGCAGAAGCTTTCCTCTAGTCACATTTTTCCATTCTGAGGCCCCAGAGACTGACTGGTCTCCCTTTCTGGTACCACTACCCCATTAACTCCAGCAAGGCTTTACTTCTCTACTGGCCCTCTCTTCCCATCTGTGATGAATTGCACAGCTCCACCAAGAAATTCTCTCATGCAGTTGATTCTACATCACCTTCCCACCCCCAAGTGCAAGCAATAATGGGAGGCTGAGGGCATGGCTTTAAAGAGCCTCTCCTAGGTGTCCTCCCTTGCCCATCACTTCTCCTAACTTCTCTTCATACTTTACTTTTCCCATAATTGTTACTTGTGTACCTGTGATCTAGTAAAATCTATTTCTATTTCAGGGTTATAAAGATTAAACGAAGCTCTTAAGTAGTTTACCAGAGGAGGATCATACTGAGGAGTGGCTCTACTGGGGAGGGCTGAAAGACTGCAGGTAGGCAAAATGTGCCATCTGTAAGAGCACTGAGTAAAGTGCGGTCACCAATTCAACCCCCATACCCTCCTCTAAGTCCTGCAGTCCCACTGCTCTCCCCATCCAAAGAGAAGGCACTAGGGCAAGGAGGGCCAGGGGTGGGCAAAAGGGAACAGCATTTACAGCCCTTCACCCTGGGCGACAAGAGCAAAACTCCATCTCAAATAAATAAACAAATATTAAAAAAAAAAAAAGTCTAAAACACACACACACAGTGAATTGAGAAACCTAACCCTCACCTTGGAGTCTGTACATTACAGTGGTAGATGTATTCTGCCCAGGCTGGAGTACAGTGGCGCAACCTTGGCTCACCACAACCTCCATCTACCTCCCAGGTTTGAGTAATTCTTGTGCCTCAGCCTCTTCTCCTGAGTAGCTGGGATTACAGGTGTGTGTCACCATGCCTGGCTAGTTTTTTTGTATTTTTAGTAGAGACGGGGATTTGTCATGTTGGCCAGGCTGGTCTCGAACCCTGGCCTCAAGTGATCTGCCCACCTCAGCCTCCCAAAGTGCTGGGATTACAGGTGTGAGCCACAGCACCTGGTTAGAACACATCTTTTCTATAGTATCAATTAGGCAGCAATGCGCCCAGGAAAGCAGGCCCTGGGAACAAATCATGATTGGTCCATCACAGAAATTTCTTCTTTGCTGGTGGAAGGACTAGGAGGGCGCAGTCATAAGGGGAGGTTGGCTGGAGCCTTCCAGAGAGGACTTTCTTCCCTGACAAAGCATTATGGAGACAAGGACCATTTTCCATGCTTTTCTTTCTTTTTGCTCACAAATCAGAGTGCTGATTTGTGAGATGATGCTTAATGCCATGGCAGGCATCAAACCCCCGTGAGGAAAAAAGTCAAGAAAATCACAGACACAGACCCAAATCCTAACATCAATGAGCAAGCAACCAGAACAAGTGCTAAAACCTATCTCCAGTTTGCTTATTAAGGAAATAATAAAAGGCCTTATAATTTAAGCCACTTGGGTATTCAGTTACTTACAACTAAAAGTACTCCAAACTCATACAAGTTGTACAGGGGAAAGGCAGAAGTTCGGAACATCATTATCTGTGACAATGAGGGAAGGAAATTCCCATGGCTATGGGGCTGAGACAGAACTGCTGAGAATCAAATAAAAGTCAATCAGGGACTAAACATTCGTGCCTCAAAATATGACCAGAAATATACATCAGGAGTCCCTAAAATGTTGTGGAAAAAATAACTTTATCTTTCCAACATTCTGACATAGATAAGGGAAGAATCTGTGAGTGTGGTGGTACCTGTTATCCCCCCCAGGGTAAATCAAATCAGGTTTTATGATCTACCAAATGGTATCATCAATTGGCCAAATGTTCTCCAATGCTCGCCAACAGGGCAACATGCTACACTTCTCCCAGGCCCTGGACTAGCAGAGGTCCTTATATCCTCCCCAAAACACTCTGCTTGTCTGGCTTTTTTTAGAGTGTTGAGGACTAACTAACCTCATCCTCAGCATTTCCTTCCTTTTCTGCTTTGCTAATTATTTGTAATGTTTACAACATAAAGAGTCCCCTTTGAGGAGAAGAGCCTAGTTGCATTCATCTTTGTGCAAGACATGGTACTTATTACAGGAAGAGGAGAAAAAGTAAGGGTTGAGGATTTTTTTTAAGATTTTGACTAACAATAGTGAATTCTCTTCTGATAATCTACAAACATCTTGCTTTCCTAGAACATAAGCACTCACCAAAGGGTCCTGCAATCCTTAGGCCAGCTAAAGGGTTAAAGGGAGTCAATGCTGCTCCCAAGGCTCTGATCCAAACTGGAATTGGTCTGTCTTGATCAGCAAGGTCTGGTCGTTCAGGGAAGCCCCAAGGTTCCACTAAAATGAGATGATTAACCCTGTTGGGGGAAAGAACAGATTTAAGTTCATTTGGTAAAATCACCCTAAGTCTATAAAGAGCTAGCATGATTTATAAAACAAAGGTAGAATGAACCACCTTCAAAAATCTTCACGTTAAAGACTAATGGCGGAACAGGTCGTATTATGCTCTTATCCTGTGTAAACTTTCGAGATTCAGTAGGATCTAAGCGGTGTATGGTAGAAAGAGGGCTTTATTTTTAATATATCTAAATGTGGATAATAAAAGATGTATAGAGTACACAACTGTGTGTTTATTAAAAAAAAGAAAAAAGGGCATTTGTTATTTAAGTTACAATCTGGGAGATGATGTAGATCACTGGCTACTCAGAAAAATCCAATGGTTCCATTTATATCACGGCTGACACTGCAAAAATGGCCAAAGATCAATATCTCATTCTTTTTTATTTATTTATTTTTTATATTTTATTTTATTTTATCTTATTTTATTTTGAGACAGAGTCTCGCTCTGTTACCCAGGCTGGAGTGCAGTGGCGCGATCTCGGCTCACTGCAACCTCTGCCTCCCAGGTTCATGCCATTCTCCTGCCTCAGCCTCCTGAGTAGCTGGGACGACAGGTGCCCACCACCACGCCTGGCTAATTTTTTGTATTTTTAGTAGAGACGGGGTTTCACCGTGTTAGCCAGGATGGTCTCGATCTCCTGACCTCGTGATCCGCCCGCCTCAGCCTCCCAAAGTGCTGGGATTATAGGCGTGAGTCACTGCGCCCGGCCCAATATCACATTCTTATAAAATAGCCTCAGATACCAACAATAGTTATCTCCTATGAATCAACCATCCTAAAAATTTAAGTGAAGTTAAGGACTTAAAGTGGGTTCAAAAGTACTTTAAATTAACTTTTCATAAACATGAGGATAACGTAATGTGGACTGAAAACACTCCTTAGTTTGGGATTCTAGAACTGTTGAAAAAGAACACGTCTATCTACCTTATCCATGATTTCATGCTATACTAACATTAGATTCTGTTCCCAATTCTTTCCCAATTTTCTTTTTCATTGACCAAGAGATAGAAAATCTTTAGTACAACTTCATATACAATTATTTCTTATTGTTAATCATTTTAATTTTTCCATCTTATGAAACTTCTTCCCAATGAAGGAAAACCAGAACTATCAGCAGTACTTCCATGTAGTTGCATCACACTTTATACATCATAAAGATTCTAAACAAAGTACAAAGATCCTTCTGAAACAATACAATGTTCAACTGTAACCAAACCAGCCAAGAAATGCCAGCCAAAAATCTCCCAAGGATAAACTGACAATGACTCTAAAGTCCCTTTCCTAAGTTATAACTGAAACAGAAAGGTAAAGAAACTAAAACATGGGCACAGATGGTACTATTCCTCATATAAAATCTATTCTGTTATTGTTGTCAGCATGCGTAAGAATGAGTTAGTAACAGGTCCATACTGTTGACTGCTTTTTTTCAGACAGAAAGCTTTAGAGCACAGAGCTCTATGGTCCCTTAGAGAATACTGGGTGCAATCTTTCATCTTAGATAAGAAGGAAGCTGAGATGTACTACACGACCTGCTCTGGTATATATAACATTAGTTAACAAAGAACTAGGGCTGAAACCCACATTTCTCTACTCCAGCATACTAACAGATGCTGACAAGGAATTGGGCAGAAGGCTTTGTTTTCTAAAAATAGGCTAGTCAATGTAAGATAGACATATTAGTAAAGGTAAAACTTAACCTTTATTAACTCTCAAGGTCGGTCCTAATAGTATACTCTAGATTTCACAGCACTGATAACATATGTAGACTATAACCATAAAGATGTATGAAGATATGTGATAAATGAGTTTCATATAATTATGAAGTATGCCTTCACAGCCTAAAAATTTCATATGAGAACATTTTCTAATAGTGTATCAGAAAGAGGTTGGAAATGAGTGTTTTGCTTTGTTTTTTAATGGCAAAGACTATCTCTTATATTTTGACCACTTCCTAAATTCCTTTTTATTTTTTATTTTTTGAGATGGAGTCTCACTCTGTCGCCCAGGCTGGAGCGCAGTGACGCAATCTCAGCTCCCTTCAACCTCTGCCTCCTAGGTTCAAGTGATTCTCCTACCTCAGTCTCCTGAGTAGCTGGGATTACAGGCATGCACCACCACGCCCAGCTAATTTTTGTATTTTTAGTAGAGACGGGGTTTTACCATGTTGCTCAGGCTGGTCTCAAACTCCTGACCTCATGATCCACCCACCTTGGCCTCCCAAAGTGCTGGGATTATGGGCCTGAGCCACTGCACCCGGCCCTAAATTCCTTTAATTACAGCCCACAATAAGATGTGGGGTAGGGGAAGGGAGAGGCCTAACGGGTATGAGTGGAACTAATGAGACAGTCACCTAGTTGAAAGCAGCAAAGATTCATGTTAAGAAACAGCCACTATTATTCACTATTGATTTACTTCCCAAAGAGAAAAATGAACTCTTCATTAAAACATACCCTACCCTAAACAATTGTTAAATTTTTGTCACAAATTTGTTAATGGATCTTGCTCAGTCTGCTCTAAACTCTTTCTGACCTGCTAACCCAAAAACAGGAGGACAAAGGAAAACTTGACAGAAGTCTCATCTGTCTCTAGGTGACTGTTTTTGCCTTAGTTCTGGTTTGCCTTTTAAATATGATCTTCAAAATTTCATCCCTAGGTGAAAATGCCAGTTTAACAAAGTATGCAAAGTATATATACTAAGGCAGATGACCTTTCAGTTCCTTTTTGAAAAGGAGTGAATGTCCCTACAATTGCTCAGTTCTACTGTCCCTACAATTGATCAGTTCTATGTCTTCATAACCTAGTATGAGGCTTAGCACGTGGCAGATGCTTGGCAAACATTTGGATTAATATGCTTTTCCATGTTTTCTTTTGGTCCTAGTCTATTAAGCATATACAAATTTTATAAAGTATAATCATAGCATAAGCATATCCAACTTGATTTTTCTGGTCCCCCAGATGACATCAGAACATCACTCCTATTTATTAATCTCATTATTCAGTAACAAAATCCATTTAAATAGTCAACAACCAGTCTAGTCTTTTCTAAATAAAATTATACTGTCTGGAACAGAAAAATAAATCATAAGCATTGAATATTGGCCACAAAATTATATTAATATATGTGTGCATGGGTGTCTGAAACAAGTTTTGTGGGGTGATACAATTGTATTTTTCTAATCCAAACAATATAGAAGGGCTATAGTAAAAAAAGTTTGAACATAATTTTTTAAAACTCTACAACATCTAAACTGTAGTTAACTGTAGTTATATATCATCTGCTTCTACTACATGTAAAAACCCCAGAAAATAATTGTTCCTTATTTTTGGTTTTAGGTATTTTAAATAACATAGACCATGCAAAGCACTCAGGTTAGTGGCTATCAAAAGGTAAATATTCAGTAAATGTAAGCTAGTTACAGTAGCAAGAATAGGAAGACTACAAGAGTAGAATTTATTCCAGGGAACATGGAAAGACAGGTATTTATTCTTCAGAAGAGCTTGATCACAGGTGACTACAACGTTGCACCAGACCAAGGTCCCAGGCTCTCTTCTAACCTCTACTTCTAGTAAAAATATTATCTCCTCACTTGATAGGAGTTACTGGGCTTTAATGTACATCTAAACTATAATAAGCTAAACTCTACTCTTTAATATTCCAGAGAGGGTTCCCTGCTGGGATTGTTAGTTCACATTTAGGGTAAAGAATGGGTCCAACCAGACAGCACATGCGAGTCATCCTATTAGACATCCTTGTCAAGAACCAGAGACTGGTTTAAACCACAAGAAAAATAAAGAACCAGCAGAGCAGGAACAACAGAACAGCTCATCAGTTTTGAAATATAAAAAGGCACTCTTCTTAACGTTAGTCATTAGAATTGGCCTTGAGTTTGAAGATGGTGAGCAGAGTACACCCTTAAGGGCAAAGCAGTGGACAATACCTGTACCAACACACTGGGACCTGATTTCACTTGGTCTAAATGCTAACAAGGGTAGATAAGCCTGACCTTCATGAGATTTAAAGACAGCCACCAGTCGGAAATAATGCAACAAGAACAACAGTCAGGTCAGGCGTGGTGGCTCATGCCTGTAATCCCAACACTTTGGGAGGCTGAGTTAGGAGGATCACTTGAGGCAAGGGGTTCAATATCAGCCTGGCCAACATGGTGAAACCCCGTCTCTACAAAAAATACAAAAAAATAGCCAGACGTGGTGGTGCATGCCTGTAATCCCAGCTACTTGGGAGGCTGAGGCACGAGAATTGCTTGAACCCAGAGGCGGAGGTTGCAGTGAGCCAAGATCGTGCCACTGCACTGCAGCCAGGGCAACAGAGCAAGACACTGTCGCAGGGGAAAAAAAAAAAAAAAAGCAGCAAAGGAAGGAGAACAATCAGACCTAGGATCAAAATGTATAAAGGAATTTAAGGAAAATAATCAGAAAGAACGCTAGTCAATGCACAAAGGAGGCATTTGCAAAATGAAGTTAGCCCCAGGTATTTCCCATTGGCTCCAAGCCACCAGAGAGAGAAAAGGGAAGGCCTGGAGAACAAAAAACTAAATAAATACCTTCAACTTCGAATCAAGTAGAACAGTTTTTCCTAGAACAGCAGAGGGCCAACAAAAATTGCTCAACTCCATTCTGTACAATCAGAAGACAGAGCCAGGCAAAAGAAAAGTATTCAAGATAAAATTATATAAAAACTTTTCACTAGAGAAATAAAGACTAGTCAAAACTTACTCTAATGTAACTCGGAATAGATCTCTTTGCTAAACACTTTCTAAGTTAAAGTTTCTATAATCTCCTTTTCCTTAGTTTATAACAAATATCTTCAAAATACAGATAGTCTTTTTAATGGGGTCCTGAGCAGCAGGGGCCAGAAGGAAAGGAAAATTAAAAGAGAAAAACTGGACCAGGCACAGTGGCTCACGCCTGTAATCCAAATGCTGGCAAAAATTGATCAGCTTTTATTTGTTCTTTAGAGTAAGAATCCTTCTTAAACAAGTGCATTAAACTAGGCATTTTCATTCTTCTCCTCAAACTGTCCTATAAAAGTAACAAACGGAAGAATGGAGCTGCCCATAAAAGACAAAGACTGAAGTAGGTATGGCTTGGAACACTAAGTCCCAACAAATAAAACAACGTTGTTTTTGTGTTTTTTCCCTCCATGCATTAAACAGAAAGTAAGGAGCTGTCATTTTACTTAAAAGAAAAAAATAAAGATTACATTTGCAACACCTGAGGAAGCAAAGAACAAAATAACATTATCAGCTGGGTATGGTGGCTCATGCCTGTAATCCTGGCAGTTTTGGAGGCCGGAGGATCACTCCAGGCCAGGAGTTTGACACCGGCCTGGGCAACATAGTGAGACCCCCCATCTCTACACAAAATTTAAAAAATTACTCAGGCATGGTGGCACACCTGTAGTACTAGCTACATGGGAGGATTGTTGAGCCTAGGAGGTCAAGACTGCAGTGAGCCACGATTGTGCCACTGCACTCCAGACTGTGCAACAGAGTAAGACCCTATCTCCAAAAAAAAAAAAAAGTAACATTCTCAAAGTCCACTATCGAAAAAAAAGAGAGACAAAAGAGGCACAGTGAGTGTAAGAAATGATCTGAATTTCATTTGATCTCCAGACCACTTTTTCCCTCCTCTTAGCGTTCCCCCCACTCCCACCAAAAGTCTTTCTGAAACTCAAAGATTCATTTCAATCTCATGACAGCATAATAAAAATGCTACTGGATCAAAAGCAAGCTGGATGAGCACTGAGTATGTAGTTCGGTAACTGTTTGTTGATACCAAGCGGACTGCTCTGTTGCACCAGAGAAAGCATGTGTGTGCTGCAAAGAAGCTTCTCCAGCTCAGGTGAAACATTCCAGATCACCCAGAAGGCAACCCTGACAACTACCCCATCCGCTTAGTGGGAATGCCAACTTCAAGACACACCAAACACTAAACATCACTTAATATGAAGTTTGCTATAATGGTGAACACTTACAGTACTCAGTCCTGTTTAATCCTGTTTAATGTTTGGATCTGTGAGTCTACTGAACTATTAACTATCAGATCATCTATGTAAATTTGTACAAATTTGCCCAACCAGGATCAAACAGAAAAAAATTCCTTTTAATAAAGAGTTAACAAATACAAGCAACATTATTAGTAATATGAATAAACACGTGGACAGCAAGACCAAAGGGCACTAAAGGAGACGATGCACCTTGCAGAAAAGACAAGAGCTACTCATTTTTCCCTGTCCTCTCTATTTAAAGAGAAGTGCTTTCCAGGGAAGCCATACCGAACAGCAATGAAGGAAAAAAGCAAGGGAGAAGGGGAAGCCCGTGAGATTGTTAATTCCAGTCTTCCTATATTATATGCTACAATGGGGTATTAATCTGGTCTATTAGAATAGGGAAAAAATAAACGATAAAATTTTACTTTTATTTAGTAGATTTAACACACTTCTTTTTTTTTTTTTTTTTGAGACGGAGTCTCGCTGTGTCTCCCAGGCTGGAGTGCAGTGGCGTGATCTCGGCTCACTGCAAGCTCCGCCTCCCGGGTTCACGCCATTCTCCCGCCTCAGCCTCCCAAGTAGCTGAGACTACAGGCGCCCGCCACCACGCCCGGCTAGTTTTTTTTTTTGTATTTTTAGTAGAGACGGGGTTTCACCATGTTAGCCAGGATAGTCTCGATCTCCTGACCTCGTGATCCACCCGCCTCGGCCTCCCAAAGTGCTGGGATTACAGGCTTGAGCCACCGCGCCCGGCCAAACACACTTCTAAACTAACTAAAGTTGTTGGTTTAAGTGGCTGGTCAATTTGTTTAATTCTGTAAAATATTCATGTATGTTATATATACATATATATGTGTGTAAATGTTAGAAGAAACATGCTAATACCTTTCTCTCACACATACATGTAGAATGATCTCTTTATTTCCACTGTAACCTGTTTTTATGACATAGTAACTTAACATGTAGATTAACTGGGCAAAAGGCATAAAACTGAAATCTTTGCCTGCTTATGCTTGCATATCTGAAACTAATTTTTCTCCCAAAAATAAATTAGAAAGATATGACATGACCAGCTCTTATCTCTTGATACTTCTGTGCAAAATGGAAAGAGAAGAACAGAGAAAAGAACAAAAAATTGTAAGCTAAAAGGTGAACTTAGCTTATAATTCTCTTTTTCAAAATCACCTATTCAAGAAATATTTACTAGGCAGCTACTATGTGCCAACCATGGTGTTCTGACTGACTGGACATAATCATGATTGGAGATATCTGAAAATCCAGAAAACATCATTATTTTGAAATTAACCTGTATTTAATAATTTAAGTTTTATGCAGTTAAGAATATAAATTTGAATATTCAACAAACTCCGTACAGTTCAAAATTTTGTTGGCAACCAGTCAAATTTAGACAGGCTAATTATTTGAAGCATTCTCATATCCATCTACTGCTACTACTTATGATTCTTGGTCCTGATACAGTACTCTAGTTTTATTTCTAGCATTAGACACAAACATTCAAAAACCATTTTCTAAAATATAATCAATCCAATGCAGGAATCACTAGCTTTGTTTTTAGATACCTTTTGCTATTCTCTTTTATAGCTGTTTTTAAAGTGTTGATTCCCTTCTGAATCCCTGAAGCTTCACCCCCTATTTCTTTAGAGCAGTTCACAATTGAAAATGAAACTCTTACCAATTGAAACTCTTACCAACTGACCTTATCAGTAGAGAGCTATGAAGGGTCAGGATTCTAAGACTTAGGGTTTAATGACCAAGGTCTAGCCTGCAGAGTTCCATGTCACATCTCCAGAGAATAAATACCACAAGACAGACACAGACATAATACACACCTGATAAAAAACAAAGGAAGTTCAACTCCCACAAATAGCCCTGTTGACTTGTACCAGAAAGGCATCCACTTCCTTCTCCTTTCACCATAAATGCAGATAGGTGTTTGTCACTAACAGTAAGACACAATAAAAGAAAGTAACCCCAGCCGGGTGCAGTGGCTCACACCTGTAATCCCAACACTTTGGGAGGCCAAGGCAGGTGGATCTCCTGAGGTCAGAAGTTTGAGACCAGCCTGGCCAACATGGTAGAACCCTGTCTCTACTAAAAATACAAAAATTAGCTGGCATGGTGGCAGGCTCCTGTAATCCCAGCTACTCGGGAGGCTGAGGCAGGAGAATTGCTTGAACCCGGGAGATGGAGGTTGTGGTGAACCGAGATACCGCGCCACTGCACTCCAGCCTGGGCGACAGAGTGAGACCCTGGCTCAAAAAAAAAAAAAAGAAAAGAAAAGGAAGAAAGTAACCCCAAAATGCCAACCAGGAGAAGAAAATTTGCGTTTCTTTTTAAAGAACAGGTCCACCAGTTGACAGGACTATTACTGTCTAGCACATCTAGGACCATGAGATCAGAAAAATCAGGTGTAAATGCTAAAGTTTAAAGAGTCTATAGAGAAAAAGTGGCTGTTCCAGAGGAAGAGAACCTCAGGGACACAGGGCTGCTGCTTCACCCATCAAATTCTGTGTTGAACACACACCCAGAGTTATGCAATGGGGCGATCTTATAGGTATACACAGAGACTCTGAAATGACCATCATCCCATGTCTCACTCACAGACCTCAAAGTCAAAATCAGTTGTAAATTTGGATTTAAAAATCAGTCCAATGGAAAAATACACTGGCAACACAAAAATGCTATATTCATTTTTTGTTGTTTCTTTCCAAAAGATGAATGTTTCTCCTGTTTTCTTAGCACTTAAATGTGACCTTCTCTCACAGTAGTAACATGAATAATAGAAAACAGCATTTAAAAATAAGGTAAAGAGGCTGGGTGCAGTGGCTCAGGTCTGTCATCCCAGATCACAGAGGGGAGGCCAAGTGGGGTGGATCACCTGAGGTCAGGAGTTCAAGACCAGCCTGGCCAACATGGCAAAACCCCATCTCTACTAAAACTACAAAAATTAGCTGAGTGTGGTGGCATGCACTTGTAGTCACAGCTACTCGAGAGGCTGAGGCCTCTTGAGAAGAATCACTTGGGTCTGGGAGGCGGAGGTTGCAGTGAGCCAAGATCACGCCATTGCACTCCAGCCTCAGTGACAGAGCAAGATTCTCTCTCTTAAAAAAAAAAAAAAAAAAAAAAGACAAAGAAAGGAGATGATACTAGAAAGACTTTGAAGCAAATATTCATTAATTCAATGTTTTATAATGAGAAAGGTTAGGGTATGGTATAATAAAAAACCCTGGGATATATGCTATGAAGTTATATTTTCTATAGTTTAGATAAAAGAAAACTAAAGGTTAGATGTTAAGTGATTTGCTCTAAGTCATAAAGCTAGCACTAGTACCTACATCTTCTAACCTTCTGGTTTCCCCTTACAGCTTACTATAACTTAGAAAACATTAGACAAAGCCTGCTGGATCCATAGATTTAACGATAATAGTAACAAATAATTTTTACTTGTGGCTTAAAATTATACATTAAAGTTTCTACAGTTCTAAGTTTAACAAATAGAAAGCCCTTTCCCAAGCCTATTAACATGTAGTACATGTAATAGGAAGATCTGACACGATTATTTCAGCTACTATATTGGTCATCAGTTGTGGTGTGGTCTATAGGGTCCTTTAAGAGAATGTCTGCCTTGTAAGGCTCGACACTAAAACCACCGAAGATGAGAACTAGAGTCTGGTACTTGGAAGCACAGTTTTAATCCCACTCTTCTGTCACCACCACTTACCTTGATGGGTACTTCAGCGAGTAAGCAGCAGCCAAGAATCCACCTAGGTTGTGCCCAAGCAAGATCATTTTGTCCAATCCGAGGGCACATCTCCACTCTTCAATGGATTCCACAAACTGATTCTCCACTTCTTCTGCGTCACTGTCAAACCTGGGTCTACTACTTCGTCCAAAACCCAATAGGTCAAAAGCATAGACAGGTCTGTTGGTGCAAAGATCTCCAAAATTCAGTGCCCAGAGCCCAAGACCTCCTCCAAAACCATGTAGAAGGACAAGTGGAGTCTTATTTGAAATATTATGAGAGAACTTCAGTGTCCATATTTTATTTCCATTAGATATACGAACAGGTTCTTTTTTGTATGTGCAAGGGACACCTAATGAAAACATAAAAAAGAAATTCTGTTTCATTTTATTACTTCTGAGAAGGGAAGCATTCTCAGAGCAATCAAAAATTACAAACCATCTAGTATCCAATCTCATGATTTTAGCTTTTATTGCCAGCTATTTTTTAAAAGTACACATTTTATTGAAGTAAATAATTCTAAATGACTATGTTTCAAACCTAAGGGGGAAGACCTACCTCAGACAAAACTCAAGTAACCTGTGGTCAAGGTCTTTGGCAAGTCATATTACCTTCTAACTTCTTTCCACATCTATCAAATGAGGGTATTATACTCCTAGAAGTGAACAGGAACTTAGTGGCCAACGAATCCATTATTTTAAGGTCTCCAGCTTTGCAGACAATTTGTAGAATACTGTCAAGTGTCCTACAATTTCAAGGTGGTATTCTTTTGTTAACTTTGAGTTGAAGTCAGACTCAAAGGCGTCATTTTTCCTTTAAAAGTAATCATGAACTTAGGGAAGGATTAATGGTATCTATATTAAACACATAAGTGAAATATTAAGTCATTTCAAAGTTCAGTAGAAAAAAAGTTGACAAAGTATTGTAGGAACTCCTCAGCATGACACACCAGGTAACTTGGGTCCAACTCTAGTAATCTCCCAGAAAAAGCAAATAGTCACAATTTTAAAGATCAAAGCTCTTTTTTACCTTCAATGCTGTGGGACTAAATACTTTAAACACTCCCAAAAATTGCCTAAAAATGAAATTAAATTTGAAATTCACTTATATTTAACTATCAACTGAATAGCTGCATTTCAGATATACCCCTTAATTATTTATGCATATTCATATACAGTAGACAAAACACTGAAGAAACAGGAGTTTCTGCCTTTTAACCAAAGAAATAATCTCAGGTTTTGTATCCATATAGTGGCAGCAAAGAAGAAACCTAACATTCATTCAGATTATTAACAGAGCACATGCCCTCAAGTTAGGGGAAAAACCATTAGTTTAGAAAAGGGGCTACTTTGGCTTAAGTACCAAGCCAAACCACTTCAGCATTTTGAACACATACGTCTTGTGTATTCCCATAAAAACCATCTGTAAAACTATCAGATAACTCATTCTACAGTAGCTTACTTTCATGTCTGATAAGCAGAGACCAATTCACATTCCTATTTGCATCCCTAGAACCAAAAGGAAGGGAATCAACATGTTTGTTAGATGCATGAATTGAGAATCTAGCACCTCTTTTTATCTCCTGATAAGAATTTTTTTATTTTGGTAAATCACAATGACAACTTTCTCAGTTTCGTAGAGAGCAAGTTTACCCAAGTACATGGAGTAAAAGTTCATTATGTTAAAAATCTGTGTAATAACCAGGTGTGGTAGCTCACGCCTGTAATTCCAGCACTTTGGGAGGCAGAGGCGGGTGGATCACCTGAGGTCAGGAGTTCGAGACTAGCCTGGCCAACATGGCGAAATCCTGTCTTTACTAAAAATACAAAAATTAGCTGGGCATGGTGGCAGGTGCCTGTAATCTCAGCTACTCGGGAGGCTGAGGCAGGAGAACTGCTTGAACCCAGGAGGCAGAGGTTGCAGTGAGCTGAAATTGTGCCACTGCACTCTAGCTTGGGTAACAGAGCAAGGCTCCGTCTCAAAATAAAAAAAAAATTCATGTAAGATGGCTAATTATCCCTTCCTAAGGATATATACAGTTATGGTCACTGACTCCTGAATCATTCAAATGCACAAACAAATCCATTAGTGGTAAAGAGAATGAAAAACAGACATGTACAAACATCTGCACCTACATACAAAAATAACACATGAATGTGAACGGTACTACTTAATCCACTCCTTTAAGTAGAATCAGCAAAACAAAATTGCACAATAAATACCACTGCTTAGAACTATACCCACAGATACCTTGGAATGTCCTGATGGTATAAGTTTGGATAAATTTTAGTGCTCATAAGAAGGAAAAATAAGGGCTTCCACACCACTATAAATACAGAATCCTAGAATGCTAGAACTAGAAGGAATTCTAAAGACCCCTTCATTTTACAAAAATCCTACCCCTTCATTTTACAAGAAATAAGAAGCTCAGCAAAGTGACTTGTCCAAGATTTTGTGGCAGATCTGGGCCTAGACCAAGTTACCTGGGTCCAGTCTAGTACTTTCACTATACAAGGCTGCATGCTCTGAAACACCTAGAATCTGTTCTCAAAGCATAGTCTCAAGCATAGTCAGGGGGGTGTCCCTGAGACTCTTTGAGGGGATCTAGGAAGTCAAAACTATTTTCATCATAATACTTATAATACTAAGACTTTATATTTTTCACTCTCATTCTCTAGTAGGTATACAGTCTTCCAGAAGTCACATATGTGATTACCCATCAGACTGAAAGCAGAAGCAGCAACCTTATGTCAAGCTAGACATAAAAGAGATTTGTAAACATGTAAACAATGTTACTCTTCTCATTACATATTTTTTGGAAAGTATTTATTTGTTTTTTTGGTACAAACTTTATTTTAATCTGTAATGGGTTTGTTACCATTATTTTTAAAGAAATTAATAAACATTTTTGATTATTCAATTTTAATTTCTAATTGAATTAGAAATGGTAAATATTGATAATAAGCCCATAAACATATCTCCTTGGGGTCCTTACTAATTCAAGAGTATAACAGGGGCCCAAGACCAAAAAGTTTTAGAACTCCTACCTGCCAGCCCCCAACATTCATTTCTGTACTTTCTAATGACAAGGAAAAGGAAAAAAAGTTATCTTACTGACAATGAACACACCACAAAATCTTATCTCTAGCTTCAGGGCAATGAGATATATCGGACCTATCTTAGTACACAGTTCATTTAACTTACAAGAAGAAAGCCTTACATTTTAACATCTTCTCTTCAGCTTCTTTAAGGTGTAATGTAGACGTAGGGCACCACGTAGGGAGCCAGCCAGTTAGCCATCCTGACCTAGAGCACCAAAAACAAAATACAAATAGGTAAGTTCATGCTCTTCTCCACTACCAACTGTCACATGCACAGAAGAAAGGCAGCACAGCAAATTTACTACCTGTATGATGGTGAAGCTATGTGTGACAAAAGTGACCTAACATGCACAAAACATGGTGGTAAGTACTGGGATACAGATATTCAACTTCAGCCTGTGTACTTACAAGTAGATCTCAAAGTCTACCTTATTCATGGATAGTCAGATTCCAAATAAACAAAAAGAAGATAAAATGGGCAGAACAAGAAAACACAAAAAATACATTCCTCCCCACTGCAAGACAGCCTCTTATTAGAGTAGAAGTGCAAAAAAAGTTAAAGACCAGGAGTAGATTCATTTGAATGACAGTTTCACAGTGAATATAAAAGGTACCTCTATAGGGGTTGAGAAAAGAGACGCCTTATTAAAATCTGAGATCTATCATATTTGGGGGAAAAAAAGGCTTCAAATCTCATATGAGTAGTAACATACCCCTAACACAAATGTCAGGGGCTGGACTGTGTACAATCTCCTTGGGGTGAACTGGTTAACTGTTAATAGAAATACAAAAAAGCTTTGGGTTTCAGCAAACAGTAGATGAATAGAATGACCAAAGCATCCATTGGAAGACAGCACAACAAAGAACAAGGACGCAGATCTGAGGCAACTAGTGAGGAAAGGCTTGGGGGGACTGCAGCTGACATACTTTGCTTGTAGCCAACAAAGTAGAGGGTGAGCCTCAACTCCTGGCCTGGCAGCTACAAACCAAAAGCTTATTGTAATAACCTGACATAATGTAGAGCTTCAGCAGTCATTTGACAGTTAGCAAGGGCTGGGTACATGGCTGGTATTATTTAAAATGAGAACTCTCTGATGAAAAAGAAATGAATTAGAAGAGGAAAAGTAAACTACTGCAGAGTCCAGATGAGAGGTAAGGGCCCAATCCAAGGCTTTGGCAACAGGCATAGAGATAAGAAGATGTAGTCACAGAATATTTAAAAAGGAAAACAGGTTGGATTTCATAATTGGTTGGATATAAAGAAGGTATAATAAGGATTCCCAGGCGTCTCTCTTAGGGTACCACTATAATGACAGACAACACAAGGGTTAGAATAGGTGTGAGTAGGAAAATATGTTAAGTTTTGGAAGTGTTGTGATCCAACACCCAGCTTTCTAACCTTTGTACATTCATCCTACAATACTTCCCTTCCCTGTAGAATTTATCTGGCTATTATGTATAACAGGTACTCAATAATGTTTGCTGAACGATTAAGTCACTCACAATCCAGGAGATCTCAGTCCAAATTATCCCCATTTCATAGACGTAAAAACTGAAGTTCAGAAATGTTAAGCACCAAGTCCAAGGGTATACAGCTAGTAAGTAAGTGACACAAGCAGAGATTTGAGTTTGATTCTGAGCCACTCCAAAGTACTTTTTTCTCAAATGACTACCTTCCTTAAAATGTCTGAAGAGTTGTCCATTACCTACAGGATAAAGTCTATATTTTCTTGGACCTGCACAAAAGGTACTTTGCAATCCATCCACAGCCTACCTCCATCCCATCTTTTCTTTTCTTTTATACATTGTACTTTTTCCAGTACCTCATAGCTCCCAAAATTTCACATGATTATGTGTCTCTATGGCTTTGCACAGCTCTTGTAAATTACCCAGTCTCAAGTACTTCTTTATAGCAGCATGAGAATGGACTAAAACACAGGCCACTAAAATAAAAGAACTCATGATTTTTAGAGGTTAAAAACAATAAACTATCATTAAGGTGAAGCTCTTTTGTTCTTGACCAGACATTAGGTCTATATTTAACCATAAAAATATGAACTAGTACCAACATGAAATTACTTACAACTCAATCTCATCCATTGTCTTAAACGAACATCCCTCAAACCACATCACAATTATTTGCCAGAGAGAATCAGAGGTCAATTGAAAAAAAAATTACAGTGAAATGAAGTATAATCTACTATTGCTCCAACTGATATCACAGACAAATTAGGGCAAAGAAAACACAAATACATTCTTTGCATTTAAAAAGGACGCTTTTTTAAAGAAACAACATTCAAGAAATAATTCAGACACTGAATACCTACTATGTACAAAGCACCAGAGTTTAAAAAGTTACATACCAGCCTGTAATGGAAGAATCATGCCTACCTCCATCAACTAACCACTTACCACAAAACCAGCTTTCAAACAATGGGACTGTCTGTCCATGGATTTCCCTCCTAGTGACCAGCTCAACTCAGAGAAGGGGCAAAACATGTTTTCATGTTTGTAAGCTTACATTACATTTTATACTAAAAAATTACATCTTCAACCATAAGAAGAGGCACCAACTCTTTTCAGGTTTTCAAAGAAGCATCTTCATCAAAACAGGTGATTTTTTTAAAGTGGGTTTTTTTCTAACAGAAAAATATATATTTAACAAAACATAGCAAGATATTCTCACCCTTAATGGAATTGTAAAGACAGCACTCTTCCCCAAGCCCTGATGTTTCTGTCCAGTTTTACTTTAACCAGATGGTTAAATGTTTTACAGAAACTATCCTCTACTTCTTTGAGACACTCTACAGGATTAAGTGTTATACATATAATAGGCTCCAAGGAACACATCCAATGAGTAAAAAGCAAGGGCCTATCTTTTCCATCCTTTAGTTGATTCCTGTTTGTTCAAAGGTCCCATACCTTACCTTGCAACCTCTATTGCTTCAACCCTCTAAAACTTACCCATCCAACTCTACCTCCTGTCTTTGGGGTAAAGTAATCTCACCTTCAAAGAGACCCTTTGCCCCCTCCCCAGTGGAATCCTATGTCATTCAGTGTTGTTCAGCATTCCTAGGTTTAAATATATAGAAGACTGGAACTAAGGACACAGGACTGAAGCTTGTCAGATATCCTGCCATTCTTCTGAGGTCACAAAATTCAAGGTAAAAACTAAATTCACATAGACCACCTATAAAACAGTAAACTAGATTCAATGCCTTTTCCTCATAGCTTTGGAAAATAAATAGAAAAGCAAAACCTAACTTCTCTATTTTATTTAAGGAGATAAGCAATAAACACTATCATCCATCACTGAGGCCTAAATTCAACAGTGACCAAAGTGTCAACTATAATACAAAGAAAAGCCATTCACCACAGGAACTACAGCTTTCTAATAGTAAGCATCTATGACATGGGGAAAGCTTACCAATGCAAGCCAAAAAGTTTTCTACACAGCCCCATCAGTTGGGCACTTACCTTATTAGCAAGGCAAAGGATACAAGGCCTAAAGCATCTATCTAATCACAGAAACAAAAACAAAACAAAACAAAAAGGGATCCTTGTTTTATAACCATTGTAGTGTAAACTGAGAATCTTTTTAGTGAGCAGACTTTTGAGTAAGAAAAGTTATAAAAGATCACATCAGAGGTGACAATTCTAAGGAAAGCCAAGTAAGATGTGCTTAACATATTTTAATAGAGTATATTTTACCTAAGAATCTGACTTCAAGTATCCTGAGTGAGAGACAGACACCACTCTTTCCATTAACTTTTTACCTAATCTGTTAAAAAAAAAATTACATTGTACTTATACCCTATACCACCAACACTTAAGTTTCCTGGTAATCTCTGTTTTGTTCTTTAACATATCTGACTATCTATACTATTACCAAACCTGAATTGCACAATCTATAAATATTATGAAACAGTGAAAGAGGTTTCAAAGATTCTGAAGAAAATATGCAGAAATCTGGCCAGTTTCCACACACTCTTGGCCACTTAAATAACATTTCTAATTAGGTTATAAGTAAAGAGGATTTCATTACATTAAAATTTTGTTTAAAATGGCCTCCATTCCTATTCTAGTACAGTTGAGAGAGAAAAATCATATAAACTTATTATTGCTCTTGATAAACTAACCTAAGCACAGTATTCTATCTCATTTAAAGAAACCATGAGGCTTTGATTTATTATAAATATCCAAATTAATTACAGGTATGAATATATATATATTTATTTATATTTACACTTATATTTATCTGAGATACCTCCTCAACCAATGACTAAAAACTTCCAAATTGGAAACTGTAACACCTGGGTAAATAAAGACCTTTCCTGGGAATTCACTTTTTAAATTCTATTCTTGGAAGGAGAAAAAGAAAGAAAAAAGAGGCTTTGGGAGGTTGAGGTAGGAGGATTGCTTGAGCTCAGTCAGGAGGTCAAGACCAGCCGCCTGGCACATCTGTAGTCCCAAGCAACCTGGAGGGGAATACGGGGGCTGGAGGGCAAGTTGCTGAGTGGCAGGATTGCTTGAGCCCAGGAGGTGAGGCTGCAATGAGCCATGATTGTGTCATTGCACTCCAGCCTGGGTGACAGAGCAAGAACTTGTCTCCAAAAAAAAAAAAAAAAGAATATGGTCTCATACAGCTACAATTTAAGTGACTAACATGCCATTTTATTTTGGATAAATGATACTTAAGTGATTCAAATTATCAACGACAACCCAGGGCCCTCTAATATATGTTAACACACTAATTAATATTCTTTTAACTGCCCCCTCACCCATTTCTAACCTGTAACTTTTAAAGACACAGAGTGGTAGTATAAGTGTTTTAGACAAGTCATGTGCTGGTAACACTTATCTCCCCATTGTTTCCTACCTTCCTTCACACAGTAAACAAACCATTTTAGAGTCACTTATATGACCTCATTATCAAACACACTTGAAGAAGCCTCATGTGTAGTCTACTTAACAAGTGAGTTACATTTCTTTGCATCAGTTCTAAAATAAGTTCATTCACTAGATAATAAAGAGAAAAAACTAAAAATCCTAGGTCTCAAACTGAACAATCAGTTTTAATGAATCATCTCACCACATGATTTTTTTTTTAATAACTCACAATCAGGAGTGGGAATTACAGAACCATGAGATTAGACTAAAAACCTAACAATTCGTCAAGGCAATGTTTAAGCCAATATAAGGTTTCAAGAAAGAACTGAGCTTTTTATATCGTTTAGGAGCAGGAAGGTAAAAATAAGATCATGGTCTGGACATGTTAAATTTGAGGAATCAGTCACAAACATCTGACAATTAGAAACATTACCAGAGTACAGAAGAGGACTCCAGAAAGAAAATGAGATCTGAGTCATCTCCACAGATGAGATAGTTCAAGGAGTTTAAGTAAACAAGACAAAAAATAAAAACAAGGGTGATGACAGAATCCTGGAAAATGACTACATTTAGAGAATGAAAAAAAAAAGGGAGAAATGAATAAAAGTATTGTTGCTCTCAGGTAAGATAAAAGGCAAAATGTCATTAAGACCTAGAATGTCTAATAAGAGTTTCAAATAGTAGTAGCTATCATTACAGTAACAAACACCAAAAAGGACCCAAGAAGAAGTACTGAAAAAACTAGAAGGCCATTGGGATGCGGCAGTGAAAAGTTTTGTGATTTTTACGATGTCAGGTGGCAAAGGTTTGGGAAGGAGAGAAGGCAGCAGAAAGGCACATATCTTGCCAGTTTTTAAAAAGATTAGATAGAGAAATCCACTCTCCTATCTCCAAGGCAAAGACCTAAATTCACAGTCTAATGTAAACCCATAGGGGAGCTAGCAAGCAGACTGAAGCAGGGAGGGGAGAGAAAAATCCCTTATTTATACTTTATTTATAGCATTTGATGATTTCCATGGCGTAAATACTCCCACCATGGCCAATTTCAAGCTGCCAACGGTTGGCAAAATTCCTGAAAATTTAGCAATGGCTTGCTGGTACAAATCAACTCCAGCGCACAACTGCAAATCACCTCTTTTATGATCTACCCTGCAACTGGGCAATTCTGTGACAGCTTTCCTCTCAACTCAGTTGTCACTTAATCATTCTCTAGGATAACTTAAAGCAATTCACAGAAGTCTACTCTACTCTCATCACTTTTAGCTTTCTCAACTGTTCTGCAGCTGAAAGGGGTTGGATGTTGAAAGCAAAATGGATCCCAGTATGCCTGTCTTCACTAAGTGCCACAAAGTAAAGGACAAGAATCATATTCAAAAAGCCATCAGATGACCATTTTAAAACTTTCCTTTGTTAATGTCATCTCCCTATCTAAACCTCAAATGTTTTAAGGTTAGGGAACTGTATTCAAAATAAGAGCCAGACATCCCACGAGTCCCAATTCCAGTGACAGGCAGCAGAGATACAGGGTAAGCATCTTAGATTAAATCTAGACACCTGAAAGGGTTCCACTCCAGCCCTGCTACTTGCTGGCAGACTGTCAGCAGCCCTTCCAGTGGTAGTTTCAACTGCAAAATGGGAACAATAACATCCAGCACACAGGGTCAACCTTGGACTTCACAGGATCACTTCTAGGGATAGTCCCTAGACACCGCTAAAGCATATTGCCAAGAATACCAGGGAAGCCCACTTCTGTCTAGAAACTGGCTAATCAGCTGCTAAGGATTTTTTAATCATCTACCTCCAATGACCTCCAACCATCACTCTAAGCCATAAAACCCTTTCACGATTCTGTCCTGGACTCCCAGGCCCCACTACATCAAAACCAAAGAGTCCACCTGAAAGTAGTGTCAAGAGTCAAAAATGTTGTGACAAACCAGATGAGAACACAACCTACCAATCAGGTTCCTACTTGCGTCCACATAACATTCAACATTTCACCTCAATGCAACGAGGAAGTTCATCAACAAACCTCAAAAAATAAACAAAACTCAAGAGAATAACTTCGTTTCTAATATTTCACAATTTTTCCCCATGACATCTTTCCAAATATCCCTGTCTTCATGGTACTCCATATTCTATCATTTAGGTTATGCTTCCTAGGCAAATTTCTCCAGAGGTCTGAAGTAGAACTGATGTCAAAAAATTAAATATATATGGGGGAAGTTTACTTTCCAATATAAATGACAGGTCTTGAGAAACAAGGCAATAATCTCCATAACAATTATTCCACTCATTAACTGCTATTCTTCTACTAACAAATGCAAGAAGTCATTTAGGTGTAGAAAAGAATAAACTCACTACACCTGTATATCAAAAAGTTTCAGATTAGACATCTGCCCTCCAACTTCCAGTTTCCTATACATTATGTGTGTTCTTCTAAGGCACATGCAACACACACTTAGCCAGTAAAACCAGAATAATCCCAGAAGCGCAAATAAATAAGGGACAGTGGAGCTTGCAAGCCAAAGACCTTTATTCGAAAGATGAATTATCACATTTGAACGTGGTATCTCTATCTTAAGGGCTAACTTTCTTTCTATGAAGTATCTGAAACCCACAGCCATACACCCACTTCCCTAACTTCTTCTCCCCTCCCCTCTTCTCGGCACCCCTGCCCTCCCGCCGCTTCCCGGGCGAATTCGGGCCTCTAATACCCCCCCAAGGAAGCGCCGCCCCTTCCCACGGCTACGGGAAAGATCGCCCAGCGGCCGAGGCTGGACAGAGCACAGGTAGTACCTGCAGACGGAAGCCGCGCTGGGAGGCTGACAGAGACACCCGGTCATTTCCCGCGCCTCGCAGTCAGGTGCAGGGTCTGCCGGGCACCGCCCGTCGGCCGCACTGGGACAGGCCGGGTCCCTTGGGAGAGCCCGAGCCGGTGCGGCCGCCGCGGCCAGCTCCGTCGCCGGCCCGCGGGGCGGCTTATACAACAACGGGGCGGACCCTCCGCGCAGGGTCAAGGCAGCCTCCCGGTGCGGCCGGAGTCCGGCTCAGACACCTCGCGGCCCCGGCACTGAGGGGAGCCTATCCCGAGCAGAGCGGCGCCGGGACGCCTCGGGGCGCCGCGCGAAGTCATGCTGGGGCGAGGAAGCGGCCGGTCATCGCCAGGCGGGCGGCGAGTCCTTGGTGCTGCCCGCTGGGCCCTAACCCGGCCCGAGCGGAGGGTGCGCGCCGGAGACACATAGAAGCCCCCTGCCCTCTGCCGGCTGCGCTTACCTCTCTTCGGTGTCGGCGGAGTCCACCTCCTCCTCCTCCGCCGCCATAGCCGCCGCCGCGCAAGCGCCGGAACTCACCTCGAAGCCGGCTGACAGGCCGACTGGGCCGCTCCAGGTCGGCGCTGCACTTAAGGCCGCGCGGGCCGCCCGCGCATGCGTCTTCCGCGCCCTAGCACGGCCTGGCGGCGCGCCCGCGTTTGCGCGTGCCCGGCCTTGCCTCCGCCATCCCCAGTCAGCGCGCACGCGTTCTCCCGCCCGACGCCCCCGGGTGTGAGTGCGGGGCGGGACAGTCAGCCCAGAAGAACTGGTGAGACTCACCCGACTGAGTTAGGTGATAGCTAATTTGAATAATGACTGTATTCATGCATCATCCTGTCAGTGTTGGCTGTCAGGTGGCACCTTGGGGGCGGAGGTGCGTCCAGTCCTGGAAGAACCTAGCTAGTGTCCGATAGATGGTGCAGTGGCGAATGAAATGCCGTAATCGAGGTGCTGTGTGGCCTCCCGGGCCTCCCACCAGCCCTTCCCCGCGGGTTGAGGGGCCGGGGGGAGAGGGCGACTCACAGGAGCCTTCAGTCAGTTGAGCACTGCTCTAGGTGCTGGTGTTACTGTAGTGTCCCAAACCAGCAATTTCCCTCCCACTCAACCCTCTAGATACCTGGGAGGGTGAAAAGAGTAGGTGTTGGCCGGGCGCGGTGGCTCATGCCTGTAATCCCAGCACTTTGGGCGGCCCAGGCGGGTAGATGACCTGAGGTCGGGAGTTCGAGACCCGCCTGACCAACATGGAGAAACCCTGTGTCTACTAAAAATGTAACATTAGCCAGGCGTGGTGGCGCACGCCTGTAATCCCAGCTACTCGGGAGCCTGAGACAGGAGAATCGCTTGAACCCGGGAGGCGGAGGTTACGGTGAGCCGAGATCACGCCACTGCACTCCAGCCTGGGCAACAAGAAGGAAACTCTGTCTCAAAAAAAAAAAAAAAAAATCGATGTTTAGGTAGTTAGAGTTATTGAGGGGAAATGACTAACCTAAATAGAAGTATTTCTTGACCTGTTTTCAAGCTTTTTAACCATCAGGTGCAACCTGCTTTTGTAATTCTACCACCCACTACTACTCATTCATTTGTGTTTCATGTTTATCTACTATGGGCTCACTTTGTTCTAGGTGCTTGAAAACAATTGGTTGAAATACGGCTCCTGTTTTGATAGATCCTATGCGAATACATTAACCTTTATTTTAGACTCAGTTCATTGCTCTCCTTCCCTGACTCCTCCCTCTTTTTCTCTCCTCTGAGCCCCACTGTAAACGTATCTTTATCGACCATCTAGCTGTCAGATTCTCGGCCTTGTGTAATTGTTACAGCTTTTTGATAAACATTATCGAGTATCTTTCCAACTACACGAGAAAGTCCTCTAGGATAGGAATGGTGTCTTCTGTAATTTAGAGGGGGGAATAATCTTGTATTATTAAAAAATCCTAAGAGACTTATAATCTCTTAGGCATAGTAATAACTAGTAAATTTTTTATTGTGTTTGATCTAATTCATAAAATGTTTTAGGGAAGACCAGAACATATACAAAACATTTTTATAGGAATTCTTGGTTGTTTTATGAAAGGGCCATATATGCAAAGTGACCTCCAAATGCAGAAGGAGCTGAGAAACTAAAGAATGAAGCAGACAAATCCAGCTTGTCGTAAAAGGTGATTTATTAGGGAACTTACGGACAGAAGCATGGTCTTGGACAGCAGCAAGACAGGTAAATCTCTGTGCTGTTACCCTCCCAGACCAAGGTTGTTTTGACTTAAGGGCAGGTAGGTAAGTATGTGCTCTGATATAATTTGGATGTTGTCCTCTCTAAATCTCATGTTGAATTGTGACTTCCACAACTCCAGTCTAGACTGGAGTTAAAGGTGGGGTTTGATGGGTGGTGATTAGATCCTGGGGGTGAATTTTCGTGAACGGTTTGGCACTATCCCCTTAATGCTGTCCTTGCAATAGTAAGTTCCTGTGAGATCTGGTCGTTTAAAAGTATATGGCCCCTACGCCTCACTCTCTTGCTCCTGCTCTAGCCATGTAAGATGCCTGCTCCGGCTTTGCCCTCCGCCATGAATAAATGCTCCCTGTGGCCTTCCCAGAAGCCAAGCAGATACCAGCACCTCTCCAGCCTGCAGAACCATGAGCCAATTAAACTTCTTTTCTTTATAAATTACCCAGTCCCAGATATTTCTTGTTTGTTGTTGTTGTTGTAGTTTGTTTTTTTGTTTGTGTTTTTTTTTTTTTTTTCTAAGACGGAGTTTTGTTCTGTTGCCCAGGCTGGAGTGCAGTGGTGTGATCTTGGCTCACTGCAACCTCCACCTCCCAAGTTCAAGCAATTCTCCTGCTTCAGCCTCCTGAGTCACTGGGATTACAGGTGCCTGCCGCCACGCCGGGCTAATTTTTTGTATTTTTAGTAGAGACGGGGTTTTACCACGTTGGCCAGGCTGGTCTTGAACTCGTGACCTCAAATGATCCTTCCTCCTCTGCCTCCCAAAGTGGTGGGATTACAGCTGTGAGCCACCGTACCCAATCGTATTTCTTTATAACAATGTAAGAACAGCTGTCACATGCTCTTATAAAAGGAAAATTATTAAAGTAGAAAACTGGGAGGCCTTCCCAAAACTGGGGTTACTCAGAAATCAACATTGTGGATTAGCATCCAAGATGAAGTTACTTTAGCTTCCACAAGAATGTTGTCAGACATTTGTAGTATGTCTGCAGAAACTGATCCCCTACAATCACACCTCTCAGAGTGTTTGTTGAAGACCCTGCTGCCTGGAACGCAGTCTAAGCCCAGTGGTACTGAGTCCAGTAATAAAACCCTAGGATTTTGCAGCAACTCCTGCAACACTTTGGTCTTTATGGACCTGGAGCCTGCTGCACAGTCATGAAAAAAGAAAAGAAAGAAAAAAAGAGAGAAAGAGATCATTGATCCAATGCTAGAGTTTATGCAGAAACTGACAAGCAGTGCATAGGACTATAGGACTTCATGATCTTCCTCAACTCTGGGAGTAGCTCTGGCCCAGGCTTCACCTTGCTGCTGATGAAGAGTCATCTTCGACAATGGCAAGAAATCCAAGCTAGAATTGGCCATCCACCTATCCCCTGGGTGTTGCCAGCAATGATGGAACCCTGCAACTCTATCCTGACCACTATGCCACCCTGGAGCCCTTGGACTGTGTCTTCTTGGGAGACAATGGACCAATACATGTCATTGCAACCTATACCCCAAGGGCCCCACATACTTGAACCACAGCTTGGACCAGACTTCCTCCATCACTACTTCCCTGAACTTTGGTGGTGCCCTGAAAGCAGACCTCTCAGAGTTTTAAGGCCAGCTTGGTCCCTTACCTCCAAATTAACTCCTTTTTGTGACCTACTAACCAGTTACCTGGTTGAGCAGTGCTTACTTTTGGAGATTGCCGGTACCTGCTTTGTACTCTCCAGTCAGATGGCCAGATATGACACTGAACAAAGCAAGTACAGAGTTTGCTCTGCATGTTCTGCCCCAGGGTTGTAGCCTAAAGACTGAATGCTGCCATTGTCCCACCAAGACCAAGTGTGCCATACTCTTGGTTGATGACTGGTGCCCCACTGGGTTCAATGTTGGCTTTAATTTCCAGCCCTCCAACAGCAGTTCCCCAGGGAAAGTGCTGAGCAATACCATAGCCATCACAGGGGCCTGGGCCTTTATCACAAGCCTGCCAAGCAAGCACTTACAAACCAGAATGAGGGTGAGGGCATGGAGAAGAGGATGTTTTATGAGGGCTTCAGTGGCCTGGCTGCTTTGTAAATAGTTTTTGGTTTTGGTAGAGACAAGTCTCACTGTGTTGCCCAGGCCGTTCTCAAACTCCTGGCCTCCCAGAGTGCTGGGATTTTTCAGGCATAAGCCACCATGTCCAGCCTGTAAATATATATAAAGAAATGCTGTAATAAAACATATTGAGAAAGCAAATGTGGCAGGGAGATAAGAAGGACACAGGATGATAAGGGAAAGTAGTAGCTGGGTCAAGGGAAGGGCCTGAAAATCAGCTGTAGTGACTTTTCAAAAAAAAAAAAAATCACATGACTTTAGGGCTTCTTGGACTCTAATCTGCATGCAGACTTCCTGTGGATCATGTTAAATTGTAGATTCTGACTCTGTTGGTCTGTGGTAGAGCCTGAGATCTCTATTTCTAACTAGCTCCTAGTTACGCATGTGTTCCTACTGCCAATCAGCAGACTACCCTTTAAGTAATGAGCTCTGGAGCAGCCCTGTCCGCTAGAACATTCTGTAATGATGGAAATGTTCTAGACCCACACTCTCGATACAGTAGCCATTAGCTACATGTGGTTGTGAGCATCTGAAATTTGGCTAGTGTGACTGAATTTTGAATTTTAATTAAGTTAAAATTTAGAAGCCATACGTGGCTAGTAGCTACCATACTGGACAGCAAGGTCTACATCTCTTAATCCTCATCTATAAAAATGAGAGTTTGGGCTGGGTGCAGTGACTCATGCCTGTCATCCTAGCAGTTTGGGAGGCCAAGATGGATGTATCGCTTGAGCCCAGGAGTTCGAGACCAGCCTGGGCAACATGGCAAGACCCTATCTCTACTAAAAGTAAAAAAATTAGCTGGGTGTAATGGCATGTGCCTTTGGCCCCAGCTACTCGGGAGGCTGAGGTGGGAGGATCCTTTGAGCCCAGGGAGGGCAAGGCTGCAGTGAGCTGTGATCATGTCACTGTACCCCAGGCTGGATAACAGAGTGAGACCCTGTCTCCAAAAAAAAAAGAGAGAGAGTTTGAGACTAGATAATTCCCGAAGTCCCTTCTAGTATTCTGTGGTTTCAAGTTGTTTTTAAGATGTGTATGGGGTGGGGTAGGGTCGGGGGAGGATTGACAGATATTAAAGTCTAGAGTAAGGCATGAGGAATTGAGAGCTCCACATAGTTGAATGGAGGAATGAGGAAGAGGAGCATGGTGCCCTGGGGGCTGGATCCTAGAACTCAGTGGTAGAGCTGCCCTCCAGAGACAAGAGATTCTGATTAACTAATAAGCATTAATTGAACTCTCAGAACCAGAATAAAAGACCTTCTTGAGTGGGACACAAATGCCAGGCCATAAAGGAAAAGAGTGATTAATTTAACCACATCAAAATCTAAGACATCGTGTGAAAAAAGGCACAATAAAACTGCAAAATATGGAGCAGATTAGAAATCTATTTGAACATGTTAAGAAACCAAGGCTTTAATATCTTCGATATATTTTAAAGAATAGAAAGTAGATGAAAAAAGCCTTCTCAGAGGAGAAAACCCTCAAGCCATAAACAGCTGCAAGATGCTCAGACTCATCAGTGATCAATTCACTCATCAATATAAAAGGCTGATGCTGCTAAATATCGGCAAGGCCATGGATCAGTGGGGAATGTCCCTACCTATTTGGTGGAAGTGCAAATTGGCATAGCCATTTGGAAAGCAGTTTGGGAGATCTGTTTTAAAATGTAAAATCAATGTACTCTGTCGTCCAGGAATTTAACTTCTGGGGGTCTGACCTTTCTAATGTGCACATAGAGACACATCAAAGGATGTTTGCTTCAGTAGTCTAATAGCAAAAAAGAAAAAGAAAAATTAATAAGAATGCCTATGATTAAATAAATTCTGGTACCTCCGTAATGTGGAATACTATGGCAGCAATTAAGATAAATG